ATAATAAAAAAAAAATAACGAATAATACACTTACTCCGCATCTGGGTATACTTCTTTTATTTTGTGGAGTTCATACTCGTCATCAAATGTCATCAATCCTGCTTTTTTATCCGCAGCAAATTGTAAATGCGTCTTGGATTTGCAAGGGTTGGCATAAATGATGCGCGATGCTGGAACACCAATATTTAGTACATCTTCAATTTCTGACTGAATCGAAAACAGGATTAAACAAATTAATCAAATTGACACGTGTTGCAAAATGATATATTAAAGTCCTAATGGCAATATAGAAACCTGAATTATCGCTTACGTGGTGACCCAAAATTTCCAATTCAAGTTAAGTTATTTCAATCACATGACATATTTGATGGCCCGACAGTGGCAAATAAGCGATGGAGTAAGTCATGTTTTATTGTTATCTAAAATTAGTATACTAAGTAAAAATAAAAATGTCTGAATAGAGTATTTACTGAAAAATGTGAAATACTAATACAATACTGCATACATACCTTGCTAGCGCAATCAAATCCAGAACCAAGTGCACCTAGGACTGTAAGTATCACTGGATGTGAATTACATTTAACAGCTGTGGGGGAAAATAATAGTTATGTCTCAATAGCCGAAACAATCAAATGATAAGAACCTTTTGTTTTAGTGATATGTTTTTATTTGACTGTGATGTAGGTAAAATCATAAATGAACTTCAAATATGTAGTAGCGTTAACGAGAAAATATAGGCGTTTGGAATTGTTCGATGGAGGAACGGGTGTGTTTAGCGCAATTTTTATTAGAAAAAATATTATTTTCATTTATTTGACTCATTAGACATGCGTGGTGCAAAAACAAAACCACCTTACTAAACGCAGGCAATAATTACCTAATATGTCCTTGATTATTGTTTTATTGTATTGTTTTGGCGATTATATCTCGTGGTTTAACATTTTCACCGACAACTTGAACGACACTTTCATCTAGAGTATTCATTCCTAGTATACTTCTGGCAGGCTATATTTGGAAAATAAAGTGGAACTATGAAAATGGTGATTTTGTTAAAACAAGCTACTGGTGTTTATTAAAAACATGTTTTTT